ATTGTTGTTGCCTTCTAACTTTAATCCGTGGTGATCTGATAAGACACAGGTGGACACTGATATTCTTTTGTATCTGTGGAGGCTTCCTTTGTTTCCGAGTATATGGTCAATTTTTGAGAAGGTTCCATGAGCTGCAGAGAAGAAGGTATATTCTTTCCTATTTGGGTGGAGTGTTCTATAGATGTCTGTTAAGTCCATTTGTTTCATTACCTCCAGTAATTCTCTTAATTCTCTATTAGGTTTCTGTCTGATTGACCTGTCCATTGGAGAGAGAGGTGTGTTGAAGTCTCCTACTATTAGTGTGTGTGGTTTGATGTCTGCCTTGAGTTCTAGTAATATTTCTTTTATATAAGTGGGTGCTTTTATATTAGGGGCATAGATATTCAGAATTGAGATGTCATCCTGATGAATTGTTCCTGTTATGAGTATAAAGTGTCCTTCTCGATCTCTTCTGATTGATTTTAGTTTGAAGTCCGTTTTGTTGGAAATTAGTACGGCCACACCTGCTTTTTTCTTAGGACCATTTGCTTGAAAGACCTTTTCCCAACCTTTTACTCTGAGTAGATGCCTGTCTTTGTGGTTGAGATGTGTTTCTTGCAAACAGCAGAATGTTGGATCCTGTTTTCGTATCCAATCTCTTAGCCTGTGCCTTTTTATAGGTGAATTGAGACCATTAATATTAAGTGATATTAATGACCAATTGTTGTTTACTCCGGTTATTCTTATTGTTTTTTTGGTAGTAGAGTTTGTGTGTGTGTCCCTTCTTTGAGTTGTGCTGGTGAAGGTTCACTAGATGCCTGAGTTATTGTAGTCAGTGTTGGCATTGTTGGATTCCTTGGGTTGCGATTTTCCTTCTATTACTTTCTGTAGAGCTGGATTTGTGGCTACGTATTGTTTAAATTTGTTCTTATCCTGGAATGTCTTGTTTTCTCCATTGATAGTGAACACTAGCTTGGCAGGGTACAGAAGTTTGGGTTTGCATCCATGGTCTCTTAGCTTTTGAAGTACCTCTATCCAGGACCTTCTGGCTTTCATGGTTTCCATAGAGAAGTCAGGTGTAATTCTGATCGGTTTACCTTTATAGGTTACTTGGCCTTTTTCCTTTGCAGCTCTTAATATTCTTTCTTTAACCTGTCTATTTTGTGTTTTGATTATTATATGGCGAGGGGAAGTTTTTCTTTGATCCAGTCTGTTTGGTGTTCTGTATGCTTCTTGAATATTCAAGGGGATAACTTTCTTTATGTTGGGAAAGTTTTCTTCCATAATTTTGTTAAAAATATTTTCTGGGCCTTCGAGCTGTGATTCTTCTCCTTCTTCTATTCCTATAATTCTTAGGTTTGGTCTTTTTATTGTGTCCCATATTTCTTGAATGTTTTGTGATGAGAATTTGTTGGCTTTGCTGTTTTCTTTGATCAGTGCATTTATTTTCTCTATGGTGTCCTCAGCATCTGAGATTCTTTCTTCTATCTCTTGTAGTCTATTGATTATGCTTGTTTCTGTAGACTCTGCTCGTTGGCCTAGATTTTCCATATCCAGCTGTTCTTCCCTTTGTGTTCTCTTCCTTGCTTCCCTTTCAGTTTTCAATTCTTGCACTGTTTCCATTACCTGTTTGATCGTTTTTTCTTGGTTTCCCAGGGTCTCATGTACATATTTACTTAATTCTTCGAACTTTTTGTTATTCTTCTCATCCATTTCTATAAGGGTGTTTATTACATATTTTTTAAGGGATTCTATTGCTTTCATAAAGTCAATTTTTTCCACTTCTTCTGTGTTAGGGTGTTCAAATCTTTCTGTTGTAAGATCTTTGGGATCTGGTGTTTTCATGTTGTTTTTCTGATTAATGGGTGATGTTCTGCCTTGGCGCCTGCCCATCTCCTCCTTTCAATGCTATCTAATTGGTCTTTTAAAATCAGATCAGGTTTTTCTGCTGGCCAGAGGCTTCTCTTACTAATTGCCCTCGCTTTGTTTCCTGGCTCCTGCTGGGGGCCAAGAACCCTCTCACCCCTAAGAAGGGTTTTCCGGAAACGGTCCCGGCTCCCCGTTTGCCAGGGCCCTCGCCAACCAAAGGCCTACCTCTTTGATTTAATTGTAGTGGGGTGATCTGCTCTCGGTGTTGCGCGCTGGTCCCTGCCGCCTGCGACCTCTGCCGCCGCGCTGGTCCCCTCCAGTCTCGGTGGCAGCCGTCGTTGCCTGCCTGCACCTCCCAGCTCCGTCTCTCCGTAGTGTTTTCATAGATACTGTATCATTGCTAGCATATACAGACACTTTCTATTCCCAAAACTTTTGCAAGTACTTTTTGACTTTGTAGAAACAGCCATAAATAGAATGAGAACAACCATCCTAATGCTGGTGTTAATAGTTCATACTGTTTTTCATTTGTGAAAGTGATTATTGGTGAGATCTGGTGATTAAAGAAATTATATGCTTTCTCATATGTCTCTTGTCTATTTTTATATTTCCTTTGGAGAATAAGTATTCAAGATTTATGCTTATTTTAACTGATTTTTTTTGCCAAAGCATTTTATGATTTAAAAGATTTTTTACTAGTGTGTGTGTCTGTGTGCGCGCACACACACATGCATGCGTTCGTGCACATGTGCGTGCATGTGTGTGCCATATGTGATACAGGTGCCCAATTGGAGGGCAGAAAAGGGACCCTGGAAAGACTGGCTTAGATTACATGGGTGCTGGAAATGCAACTCATGTCCTGTAGAATCTGAGTGTGAGCCTTTAATGGCTGAACTATCTCTCTAGCTCTGTTTTTCTGTTTCCTAACGTAGAAGCTGAGGTGATCAGTTTGAGGCCTTTCTTCTGACTTAGCTAGGCAGTTTAGTGATACCAGCTTCCCTTTTAGTACACTGTCATATGAGTTTTTATTTGTTGTGTTTTCTTTAAGTTTAAAATACTTTGCAATTTCCTTTTTGTTTTTGCCTTGACACAGATGTTATTTAGCTGCTAGCACTGGGGTTTCCAGATACCTCTATGCTAGTGATTTCTAATTTAATTTCACTGTAGTAAGAGAATGCAGCTTGATCTGAATACTTTCATATATACTGAGACTGTTTTATGGTTCACAGCTTACTGTGTTTTGATAAATATCCTGAGTTTATTGCAAAGAAAACCTTTTATTGTTCTATCGTTATTGCATAGACTGTTCCATATATTTTAGTTAGGTAAAGTTGGTTGATAATATTATTTAATCCCTTACTGATTTTATTTTTATTTTATCCATTGAGGTGTTTCATTATTTTTTTAAGAATAAAGGTGTGTAGGTCTGATTTTTTCTTTCCAGTGGTGTCAGGTTTTGTTTAATTTATTTTGAAGATCTCTTGTTATATGTAAAAGAAAAAAAAACCATTTAAAATATTCTGTATTCTTGTCAAATCAGGTTCCTAATCGTTGTGAAATGTCTTTTGTTTAACTATGTTGTGAGCTCTCATTTGGAACAGTTTTTCATTCTTTGTGAAGGAAACCATTACGGTATCTTTGTTTTCTTTTTCGTGTGTGTGTGTGCACTTATGCACAGTGTTTCTATGAAGATCAAGCTAGGGCACCAGCCTCCCTGGAGTTGGAGATAGAGATGGCTATGAGCTGCCTTCTTGGTGCTGGGAACTGATTCCAGGTCCTCTGCAAGAGCAGCGAGTGGTCTAAACCCTAGACTTGCCTTTCTAGCCCACAAATATTTCTATATTTCATTTATGCATTTCTTTATATGCTAGTATTTTGTTCTAGCATTGTTGCATGTGATTTTTTTTTGAAGTTTTTGTTTGTTTATTTTTTTGAGATCAGATTTTACACCGTAGTTTGGCATGGTCTGGAACTCACTGTATAGCTGAGTCCGGCTATCTAATGGTCCTCTCTCTGTATTCTATTAAGATTAGAGGTCTCTACCAGCAACCGGACTTCCTGTGGGCCTTATCAGCATTGGTTTGTTTGATCCTCACAAGGACACTGTAAAATGGGGTTAATATCATCATCCCCATTTTACAAATGAAGAGCTGGACTTCAGAGGGGTGTTGCTTAGATCTGTAAAACCACTCCTTGAAGGTGGCAGGAGCAGTTTTTTTTTGTTTTGTTTTTAATTTATTAAAGATTTCTGTCTCTTCCCCACCTCCGCCTCCCCTTCCCTCCCCCTCCCCCAACCAAGTCCCCCCCCCCCTTCAGCCCAAAGAGCAATCAGGGTTCTCTGCCCTGTGGGAAGTCCAAGGACCACCCCAGGAGCAGGTTTTGAAGAGAAAATGCATTCTAAATATTTCATGAATATGAATTTGTCATTAGTTAGTATCTTTTATAATTTCAGTGTCAGCATGAACAACAGATAAAGTCATTTTCATCTTGATATTAGAAAAGCATCTTCCAATGCTTTATTTTTTCCAAAGGCAAAAAACAATTTCTTTAATTGCAGTGATCAACTATAGAAAGATCTTTTCTATTTTCATGTTAGCTTCATAATATATTGCATAGTAAACCCTATAGTAGGTACCTAATTGTTGGGATATTGTGGTTTGCAATGGACCAAATCTTTAACTTATTTGCAGTTTATAAAATATGAGTTACACTTTCTTGGTAGCAATAGGACATCAAAAAGAGTTTATGTTCTTCCCAGGATGTAAAAATGTGTAATAGTGCACACAAATCTCTGCCACGCTGGAGTGAGTGCGATAGAAGAGTGTCACAATCTTCATTCGTTAGTGTATAATATCTGAATGTTAATACTTAAGTGATAAGAGGGAGTAAGAGGTAAATATTAGACCCAAACTTAATGCGTTGCAGTGAACATACACTCACCAATAATTTTCGAAGATGGTTACATTTGCTGTTGAATCTCTCTATGTATGTCAAATAAATGCAGTTGCCCTCTGGGGCATGCATGAAAGATGGCATTCATTTCCTTCAGAACTGCAGATTTCATGTGCTCTATACCGCCTGCTGTGGGACTGTGTGGCTCTTGCAAGCGTGACTGCACAGCGGTTAACCCTGTGCCTGTGTTTTGTTTGCAGCATCTGGCGAGGTCCCAATGTGAACTGCACGGACAGTTCGGGTTACACCGCTTTACACCACGCAGCCTTAAATGGACATAAGTAAGTGCCACTTGTCTGGACTGGAAGTTGCATGTATTTAGTTACGTGTAATCTGATAACATTAGTTCTGTCTGTTGATGCCTTTCTTCTGGTCTTAGGCAGTTTAGGGAGGATAACACTGACGAATTAAGCTTGGGAGGAATATCATTGAGTATGAATGTATTTAGAATGTTAGTTCAAAGAAGCAGTCCGAGATGTAGTAAAACATATCACACAGGGGTGGTAGAAGCAGAGACAGGACATGTTAATCCTGTGTGGTTTTAGGGAAAGAATGGGATAAAAACCACTGATTATCTTCTCTTGACATTTGCCTATATCCACTCCACACAGAAGTAGATTCTTGCTAGAGTCCTGCCCTTATAAGCCATGGGCACTTCTGTGATATTTTCTCTATCATCCATAATCACGTGTCTCAGCTCTGAACTGTTTGATCCTACAGAATTAATGTTTTAATTGCTGTGCTAGTTTATGCTATGGTGCACGAGAGAACATACAGCTACAACCAGTATTTTATAGCCGGTATTTTATCGAGGTAACCTACTGGTTTAGTGATAACTTGTGCTGTCTTTTCTTGGAGACACAGATGTTCTGTCTTTTGCTACCAGAAGAAGGTCGCCTTTTCTGTGTCTCCCTTTCCTTTTTTGTCTTTCTTCTGCAGGAATGGTGCAAGTTAGTTTCCCCAGGTTTGGCTCTTCTCATTTCACTTTAGTGTTTTGGGTGGAGTGTGCGAGTCAAATCTTGCCTGTATCCCAGCACTTGGGAAGCCCAGGCTGGAAAATCAGGAGTTCAAGAACATCCTTGGCTACTTTATGAGTTCAAGGGCAGGCTGAGAGCCTATAGAAAAAAAACCACAATACAATAAAACAAAAAGGCATGTCTATATTCCCCTCCCACCAAATATTTATTTAAATTTGAAACACGCAGGCCTTACTTATACTTGATTTGCCTGGTGACCAGAAAGCTCCAACTTCAAAAGATTTACAGTTTGTCATTATTTATTACTACAACAGTTTTGCTAATTAAAACTTACTATGTAAATCTAATGTTATCAGTATATTTAAACAATCATTTGAATTGCATAAAATATTATAAGTGTAATGTTTTCTTATTTGGATTCTTAGTACCAGATTGCAACATTACATTTATTTTTGTGTTAATTTTTTATATTGTATAATCATATCCCATCTATCTTAGAATGTTTTGTTTTCACAGGATTTTTTCATTACTAAATTGTTTTTCTATAGAATGAAAAATACGTTTGCATGTCTGTCTGTCTGTCTGTCTGTCTGTCTGTCTGTCTGTCTGTCCTTATTCTCCTTTGGAAGATAGGCTCTTGCCTATATAGTCACACCTTGCTTCAGTCTCGTGACCCTCCTCCTGTACCTGGGAAAAGCAGATTTCAGGTCTGAGTCACCATGCTCTGCTCACACCACACATCTCCTTAAAAGGTGAAATTATTATTTATCATTATTGTATCTGCGTGATCCCAAGGCAAATGTAAACCAGGTTAGGTCACAAATAATAATGTTTCTTTTTCACTTAATTCAGAGTTCAGGTTTCTGATGAAGGGGAAGTCTATGGGGCATGATGTATCCAGTGTCTGGGGCCCGACTCTGAGTTCCACTCATTTCTTGCTTTCTTACAGGGCCACTCACTATAAACACTTACAGACTGCATGAAAGCAGGTTAGGACTCGGACACTTTCTGACTTTTCAGCAAATTTATTTAGTGGCCATTGCTGATTTGCACATGATGGCCTGGAAAATATAACTGTTTGTTCCTGTTGCCTGTGTATAAAGGAATTGAACGGTAATCACTAAGATTGGCCTAAAGAAAATAGGGTCCAGCTCGGTATCGCCAAGCCTCCTGTTCAATGCAGAAATTCTTCACTTATTTATTTTATTTCATTTTTTAAAAAATATTTATTTATTTATACTTACTTATTTTTGACTTTATCTGATGAGCTCATCTATCTCTCAAATACTTTCTAGTAACAATTTTCTCAATATCATCTTATAGAATGTGCTTTGGGAAGAGCACAGGAGAAGTATTTAACTTGCTAGCTGCTTGCCTTTAAGCTGTGTTAACTGTAACATTTTTAAGCCTCAGTTCAGTGTGTATCAAACACATTGGCTACATAGTCTCCATTGTTTCTATTTTTGATATATACGTTATGCATTGGTTGTTTCTCGGATCTGTATTATGATGCAATAGTTCTGAAAGTTGGATTATAAGGGCTATTTCTTGAGTCTGGTATGTTTAATTTACCTATAAACGGTTACAGTTAGGCCCCACTTATCCCACCCAATCCCTCTTATTGGATAGATGGACAAAGCGGGCCATTCTGGATAAACGATGCAGTGGCCACATTGATGGTAAGGCGGGTGGGTGTGTACTGAGACCCTCAGCATTCTGTTTACATGTGTATGCCCTTGTCAGTTCTCCATGCTACGTCCCCCTGGGTTTAACTTCTTCCTGGCTTGTCTATGACACATTACGTATTTCTAAGATATCTCTCAGGATTATCAATTAGTATATCCTGTGGGTATTCTAAATAATGTTGTGTTAAGTAAAAAAAAAAAAAGATATATTTTAAGGAGATAAAATTATCATCGAAGGTATAAAGGAACGACACTTCTTTTGTTGGCTAGAGTTACTTAGTATAGGGCATTAACACTTTATTATGTTGTATTTTTCTCTAGTAAACCTGAGCAGATAATAGCAAAGCATTTTCCATTCTTGTTGCTGTTGTGGTTCCTAGATTGTTTCTGTACATGTAATCTCTAGGCTAAAGTTCATGGCTCACAGAGCCGGGGAGAATGTTGCAGGGTCCTGTATTTTATTTGTTTTCCTTCCCCTACAGTTTTTCCCCATTCCCAACGTGTGACCAGCCCCAAGCCTTCACACTGCAAATTGAATCCACTTCTTCCTCCTTGGAGCATTTCCCCGGGAGTCCTTGTTAATCCACAAAGCGACAAGCATTTCCTCCTCCCCTGTGATTTGTTGCTTCTTACAGAGCAATTCCTCTCCAATCAGCCAGGCTGGAGCCAACAGAAACTGTGCTCTATTGGTGGTTCCTGGATCATTTGCAATGACAAAATGGAAAGTTATTGCCTCCAAATGATAGAAAATCGTGGTCAATAGAACAAAATCTACTAAGAATGCTTATAAACAATTTATACTGTAAATCCCTTAATTCTCTTCTGAGAAGAGAATAGAGTAATATTCCCAGTCTTCCCTCGCCCCCCAACTCCCCACATCTTCTCTTTCCATCCTCTCCTGCCCTGTGTTTTCTCGCTCCCATGCCTCTTTCCTGTTTGATTTTCCTTCCCCCCTCTGTACTGTTGTCTTATTTTTTTGTAACTAATTAGTTAATTAATGCCTGGGGTGGGAATCAAGACCTCATACACGCTAGGCAAGCTCTGTACCGACAGGTACAGCTCCCTTAATAGGTGCTCCCCCCTTCCCCCTTCTATTCTTTCTTTTCTGTTGTTGCTTGCTTGTCTTTTTCTTTGGGGAGGGGCGATTCTTACAAGCGGATTCTGAGAGACTTATTATTCCCCTGTCTCCATCTTCCAAGGGCCGGGATTGCATGCCTAGCTATTTTTCAAAAAATAATTTTATCTTTCTCAATAATGTTTTTCAAAATTAAACTCAAGCACTTATATTTCCTTTTATTTCCTTTCTTTAATTAGGAAATGGCTTCTTATTTGTCCTCAGTCATTTCTCAGGCTGTATTGGCTGTGTTGTGACATTACTTGAATACTAAATAAAAGTGTCAATGAATTTCTTTATTCCTTGGAAATATATTATATATTATATGATATGGTATGTGTAGAGTTAAAATAGTTTCTATTCTTCTATTTCTTTTAGGATTTAATACTTTAAAGACTCTAGAATCTGTAATCTAAATTCTATATTAAATTGTGGCTAGAATTGAAAGAGTAAGTTATTTATAGTTTTGCTTTTGCTTCTTTTTTAGTTTTTTTTTAAATGAAAGGAATATTCTAAAATTTTATGATCGGATATCTGAAGATGTTGGTATAACTAGAAGCACCTTCGATTTTATTGCTTTTATTCCTACAATCTAGAAATTGTTAAGTGTGAATGCAGTCTATAAAGAATCTTCACTGAGAGTGGAGTGTGTATCCCCAAGTCTTCTGGGCACGCCACAGACCTGAGACTTAGCTTTGAAGAGAAGTGGATAGCCTCGGGGAAGTCTCAGATCTAGCCTTATGGACTTTGAGGATTCTTTGGTTAATTTTGTAGCCAGAGGAAGCTGCTATTCTGAGACTTACTGACAAGCAGCAGGACAAAATAAACATTGTTGGCTGTAAAGTAGTTACATGGATCTTGTTAAGAAAAAAGGAAAAAAATAAAGTTGGTCCTACCAATTACTTTAATTTTGCTTACAATTTATTCTGAAGTTTTTCAAAGCTATTTAATACTAATCAGAAATGTTTTTATATTTATCAGAACATAAATACAAATGAAAGTAGAAAAAGCCAGTACTTTAAAATTTTGTATTTTTATCTGAATTTACATATATTACCTTAAAGCCACAAACGAATGAAATTATCTAAATTGGATTGCTTTTTGATTTAATATTTTATTTTGCCTCTGGCAATAAAATTACTTTCTCTGTGACCCCATCCACCACATTTATATTGGGATTTCTGAACATCTTGTGTGTGTGTGTGTGTGTGTGTGTGTGTGTGTTGGGGCTAGCATCGCAAGCATGTTGTACGTGCTAAGTGTGTACCTTGTCACCAAGTCACACCTTTAACCCTGGATCACAGTCAGTTATCTGATGCTGACTGTATCTTACAGCCCACTATTGAATGGTGACTGTAAGAAACATTGTTACTTTATTTGTAAAATGCAGGGATTGCTTTGCTACTTGCTAATCTATAGACATCATCAGTGAACTTAATATCTTATCCTAAGAATGAAGCAAGCTCAGCACAGTCTGTTGGCACCTCTGAACACACAATTAGATACACTCTAATTGAAAATAAAAAGTCATAACATTGAGCTAGTATTTCTGTGATTTTTCAAATTTAAATAATAAAGTACTCAAATTTTAATTTGCTCTTTATAAGCCTGTGTGGAAAGGCTATTTCATTATCATCAGGTTTGATACATCTAGATACAACATGAAAAGGGTTAATGACAGTTTACTAAGTCCTCAGTGTGTTTACAGTTCAGTAAAACCACCAGGTATTTACTTGATTAGAAGTCTAATAAGTGCGTTTTCAAACTGAACCTAAACTCATTTGGTTCACTAGCTAACGTGTCTGGATAAGGTCATAAAACTCAACTTAAATAAAGGTTTAAAGGGAAATTTAAATTTAAAGGTGTGCACGTTTATAGAGTGGTACATATTTACTTCCAGGCCCTCGGGCGTTGACACAAGCGTATCCCAGATTGAAGAGCATCCTTTAGCTGGGCAGGACCTTTTCTCAGAATAAAGTAAAAAATGTCAGGCATGTTAGCTAAAGCATTTGCTTACACATCTAGGGTCCTGGATCCAATCCCTTGACACTGTAGAAAAATAAGAGCTAGAATGAACACATTTAAAAATAGAGACAGCAACCGAGACAACTAAGACAGCAAGCAAGACAGCTCAGTTGGCAAAGGCTTTCGCTGCCAAGCTCGATGACCCGGGTTCTATCCCCAGTGCTAACACGATGGAAGGAGACATCCTACTTTGGCAAGGTGCCCTCTGCCCTCTACACATAGGTGTCCCCCAATCAAATAAACGAATGTAATAAATTTAAAAAGATAATATTTGGTTATGACCTTGTAACTTATAAGCATATAGATTATCCCTTTCTGATTTAGGTATTAAATAATCACAATGTTATATATACATTACAGATGTTTAGAATAAATCAGTGTTTAGAAAGAAACACTTCTCAGTGTATCATAAATTTTCGCAGTAGACACTGAGTGCTTATGGCCTATAAAAACTGGAGTTAAAGGACAAATTCTGAATTTTGGGTGGGAGTTAAAGACAAGAGAAGCTTCGTTCCCATCGATGTTTTCTTTTGTTATCTCCCCCCGGAAAGGTGTTTCAGCCTGTGTTATATTACTGTGATGAGCTATCCACGGCTGGGTAACATTAGAAAGAGAGGGAAAACGCAGGCATCGTTTTGCTGCCAGTTATTCTGCAGATGTCAATTATATAATAGGATTTTATTCCAGGTGGCGAAGCGCTGTCAGCATCTTCATTTGCTGATATTTCTAAATGAGAATGGTTCAGCTAAATAAAAGTAAAAATACGGAGTATGCATTCTCCTACACCTTCATTTAGGAGCTATGGAAAGTGCCTGAAATTTAACTTTGTGTGGCCTTAAAGGCCCGCATCTGGTGATGTTGTTCTAGATGGCAGAGTCCCAAGGTGACGCACGTTACCACAGTGGACGTGCATGTACATGTTTCTTCCTGTCTTTCTTAGAGCCAGTGATATCCATAGGCGGCTCTACCACAGTTACCTTGCTCATTTCTATTGATGCCCCCTAGGGGCCATTTCTAGATAGCATAGTTAGATTGGGTCTCCACTGTCTTAATATTTTATAATAGTAAGTAAATTTGATTTATAAATTCTTGGGCATAAAACCGATCTACATCAAAACTAAGAAACATTTTCTTTACGAAGAGTTAGTTTTAAGATTGTTTTTATTTGCATAGATATTAAGAAATGAAATTAAAAGCTTTCTCATAATTGTCTTTACCATGAATTTGGAGAAATTGATTTTATTCTAGAAATTATATATTCAATCACAGCCCTTTGGAACTGAGAGCAGAATGTAATATCTAAATTCCATAATAGCAGTCAAAGAGGTAAGGGAAGACTTGATTTGCTTCAAGTAACTAAGTTATTAACTGGTGGAGATTTGGGACTTCAAGCTAGATTCTTGGTGGGTTTTTCTTATTGATTGATTTAATCCTCTTTTCTCACTGTCATTTACTTATCTCAGAATCGAAGACTCCAGAACAGCTCTTATGTGGCAGCGATAGGAGAATCATGGGAACCAAGTCAAAGTCTCAAAGTCTGATTCCACTTCTTATTTGATACAATCCTCATGCTTACACAGTGGGCTCCAAGTCATCCCATTTTGTAGCCTTACCCAGGCTGCAGCCGTCAGGACAGCTTTGTTGCTCCAGAGTCTTTTCCAGAAAGGAAGAGAAAACGCCTCCAAAATTAAGAGTCGGGTAATTTGCATAGCCGCGTCACAAATCCCAGCCTTCTAAATTCAGATCCTGTTAAATAATAAATTCTAAAGGACTTGTCAGGAAATAATATATGGGTCTGGAAGGAGGGCTCAGCAGTTAAGAACACCACGCTGGGCCGCAGATAATTGCCTGTAACTCCACCTCATGGGGATCTGATACATTCCGGTCTCCACAGTCACCCCATCTATACTGTGCACATCTGGACACGCATATCCACACATGTGGAAATACAATCAGCTCTTAAAAGAGATAGAATTTATGTCTTTGTTTCTTAGAAATCTCACCATTAGAAGATTAAGATTCTTCGGAACGCATACGCATTTCTGTGACACATTCTCTCTTTGGTCATGGCAATTTCACATGTCCTGCAGCTGCTGTCTAGGCTGCATTTTGGGCAGTGTGATTTACCATTTATTGTTATGTTGTGTTACATCCATTTCTTGTGAACTAATGAGATTATGACCTCATTTCTTTCTAAACAGCCGCACATTTTTCTCATTTATGACTCTTAGTTTAACCTCATGAAAAATTTAAATTCAGGTCTTTCTGTTATGTTCATTCTTTCTCTATGTGATTTTTTTTAACCTAAAGATAAACTTCAGTTTATAATGGTACATACATAACTATTTTTGCCTGCCTTTACTCATGAGTCTGTCTTGGGTTGCACTTAATGAATTATTAGAATTTGCGTCCAAATGCAGCCAAATGAAAGTGCAACTTTGGTTTAGAGTTACATTTTTCATCGTTTTATGCAAAGTTCAGTATAATATATACTAGGTATTATTAATCAGTTCTTTTTGAGGTTATGTCAATGAAGGTTTTTACTCTGGGAGTCTGGTGGGTTTGAAATAAAGAAGCCTTATGGGTAGCATGTGAGCTGTCCCAAGACTACACCACTAATGGAACTTCTCTCTTACCTGAATTCCATTCTTGGGGTCACTTCCTGGACTTGAAGGAGAAAAAAGAAAGCAGGATGGATCAGACATTCAACCACATTGTGTGCTCTGTCTGAACAGCTACCAGAGCTTGGTTTTGAATCCTGTCTAGTACTGTACTTAGGTTGTTGGCTCCCCTACCTGTGGACCTAAAGTTCTCTTACATACATCTTAACTCCTTCACTCCTGTTCTCTCTAGGGGTGACATTTAAGTCCCCCAAATTCATCTTGGTATGTGGTAGTTTTGGGAAATAGCGGGTTTGCTTATAAATTCAGCTTTGGTTCAGGCTGGTCCTTAGATTTAGGTTCTTTGGAAAGACAAATCATTCACAGAACGGGAGGAGGTGATGATGTGATGTTTCATTGACTTAACTCATCTATTCATGAAATAAGATATATGTTGTCCAAATGGATTCTATTAAGTAATTTAACTGCTTAGTCAATGTTCTAGGTATATGGATACCCATGTGTATGTGTGGGTATGTGTGTGTGTGTGTGTGTGTGTGTGTGATTTGGGAGGGCTTTTGAGTACTTTCTGCATAAGTAAAATAGTATATCCACTATGTGAACTCTTAATCCCAATCTTAAATGGCAGTGCCTTGAATGACTGCTATAAGAGCCAGCTAGTCTCTAGTAAGCACACCTGGTTATCTAATAAAAATCTGCGTTGTTCAGCCTCTCTTCTTTTCTGTTGTTTTCTTCTCTCCTTTTGTTTTCTCTTTCCCATAGGGACATAGTTCTCAAGCTCCTTCAGTACGAGGCATCGACAAACGTAGCGGACAACAAAGGCTACTTCCCCATCCACCTGGCTGCCTGGAGAGGCGACGTGGAGATCGTGAAGATCCTCATCCATCACGGACCTTCCCATTCCAGAGTCAATGAACAGGTGCCCTCGCCGAACGCTTGCTCACCTTGTCTCTTTCTCATTCTGCAAGGGCAAAGCCATGTTGAAGTAGTGAACACGTTGTTCTTTACCTGCTCCAAGTCATTCTACTTCTGAACTCCCTAAAGGAGAAATTGGAACAACTCTTTGGGTTTGGATGTGATGAACAGAAACTACAGGCTTGGCTATGACGCACAGGTCCTAACGCATTTTGGGAAGATACTTTGTTAGAAAAGATCACACGTAAAGGAAACCACTGCACAATTTTTGCATGCGTTACACAATCATCCATTTTTATCTCCTGAATATTTAAAGATAGAACAGTATTTATGTTTGTAAGGAGAATTAGTGTTCTTTAATAAAATCTCACATGCGAACACAGTGTTTACAATGATCATTTGCATAATGCTTTCCATTTACATAGTATTTTCACAGTTAAGTAGTTTTTGGGAATCAGTATGTAAAATGCAATGTACACAGTTTCTAGACTCATAGTTAAAAATTTCCTCTAACCACCCCCCACATGTATGTATGTATGTATGTATATATATATATACACACACACACACACACACAGGAGATAGAGAGAGAGAGAGAGAGAGAGAAAGAGAGAGAGAGAGAGAGAGAGAGAGAGAGAGAGAGAGAGAGAGTTGTCTAGAGTAAGCTGAACACCACAGAGCATTATAATCAAGGCAGAGTATTTGCAGGACATAATGTCTGTATTATAAACAATGAACATACTTAAAGAGGAATTCAACCTTGAGCACTGAAACAGATAAGAGTGCAGATCTGAAGAAGTGAAACACGGCCTCCTAATACAGTATAATAGACATCTCGAGCTCCGTGTGCCCCCTACTGTTCCCATTTTGTAAAACTCTATCTGAAATCAGCGTGCAGTCCAACAGTTGAGCTACAGCAATGGTATTAAGCGGCAGGTTGGCGGTTGTCCAGTACCGATGTAAACAGATTACTGTAGTGCCAACGTTTCTAATTAAAGGACAATTACCATATTATTTAAATAGCTGTAGACTTTGCAGAAATTAAGAGTAAGTAAGAATGCAAAATAACATTAGCTTTAAATAACAAAGGTAAAAAAAATTTATAATCAGATATAATGTTGGAAGGATTAATCAGCAAAAAGTATTTTATTTGTTGGGAAAGTACCTCATTAATTTCTATGCCAATTAATATTTGGGGTTTGTTATGTTACCCAAATGCAGGATTTTGAAATTAGAATGTGTTCATCTTTTTAAAAATGACAGATATGGGTATCTTTATCATCGTCCTAGGCTAAAAGGAAGTCCATGAGAATTCTTTTCTGTTCCTGAGAAGTTAGAATTTAGCTCCTTTGCAGAATGAGCCATCTGGTGGGTTTTCCTTAAAACTGTCGGCATGGCACAAGGCCAGTCTGAAAGAACCAAGTGGAAAAACAATCCGAGGTAAAAGAAAAGGATGTTAGTTCATATAAACAACTGTTCTTTCAAGGACACAAAAATAAGAAACATCCAGTATTCATTTATAATTGAAAGTTGAAATTTTTAGATGCTATAACTATATTGGTAGGATTTGAGAGAAACACTTGTTTTTGGTTATATTGAACTTTGATCCAATTATGAAAAATTTTCCTTTTAAGGAGATTGGAATTCAATTTTTTTTTTGCATTTCTGTTTACTGTGTGCTGTAGTTTTGTTGGTAGCAAGTTGAACATTTCTTGAGATTGTTTTGCTGTCTGTGCAGGCACATGCAGGTATAAATGTATAGCCCAGTGTGTGTGTGTGTGTGTGTGTGTGTGTGCCCACCTGCCCTAGTGCACAGGTACTTGTGTAAATGTGCATAGAGAAGCGGAGGCAGGTGTTATTTCTCAGGTACCGCCTACCTTGTTTGGGACCTGGTGCTCACTGACTGGATTTTTCTGGCTGGCTGCTGAGGCCAGGGACCCTTCTGCCTCTGCTTCCCCAGCACCAGGACTACAAGCCTGCGTCACCATGCCTGATTTTTTTCTTTAACTTTGATGTGGGTTGTGAGGATGGAGCTTACAGCCCCATGTTTGTGGGGATGTTACTCAACTGAACTGTCCTCCCTGCACCTGGGACGTTTAATTCGAAACCCATCTTTCCCCTCTATACCTCTGCTCCCTCAGATGTGAGGATTTTATTCTTATACGTAACTTGAATCTTAGCTCCCTCCCAATGGCACAGAAGTGTTCTAGCTAATTAGAAACATTTACGTATTCAAACAGCGTCGAGACAGAACAAAACCCCACATTTAGTAAGGGAAGTCAGTCATTGTTGTGAGTGCTTCCCCCTGCACACTGTTACTTCATTCTTACAGTGATTTTCCGGAATGAAATTACCTTTCCTGTTTTATAGATGAAAAACCAAGCTCAGTAAAGCTAAGTAACTTGTTTAAGGCCCCATGCCCCTGGGTGACCCAAACTTGAACTCGGATTCCAGGGCTTCACTCTAATGTTGCCATCATACATCTTATTACTTACGGAGCGTTTGCCGTGTGGCAGGAGCTGGGCAGAGGACCATATTTGCCTTACCTTAATCCAATCGGAGCCCTCCCTCTCCAGTCTGAAGAGCAGTCCGGATTCCCTGCCCTGTGGGAAGTCCAAGGTCCTCCCCCCTCCATCCGTGTCCAGGAAGGTGGGCATCCAAACAGGCTAGGGTCCCACAAAGCCAGTTCATGCAGTAGGATCAAAACCCAGTGCCACACTATCCTGAGTGAGGTAACCCAGACCCAATAAGATGAACATGGGATGTACTCACTCATAATTGGTTTCTAGCCATAAATAAAGGACATTGAGCCTATAATTTGTGATCCTAGAGAAGCTAAATAAGAAGTTGAACCCAAAGAAAAACATATAGTCATCCTCCTGGATATGGAAAGTAGACAAGATTGCCGGGCCAAAAACTGGGAACTTGGGGGTGAGGTGGGATGGGGGTAAGGGGAAATGGGGAGAGAAAAGTGAGAAGGGGAGGATGGGGGAAGCTTGGGGGAATGGGATGGTTGGGATAAAGGTAGGGTGGATATGTTAGCAGTGAATTATATATCCTAATTAAGGGAGCCATCTTAGGGTTGGCAAGAGACTTGACTCTAGAGGGGCTCGCAGGTGTCCAGGAAGATGTCCCCAGCTAGTACCTTGGGCAACTGAGGAGGCAGATTTTCTTTTGGAAAGCATTTGTAAGCTATTCCGTTTCAAAATGCTTTCGTCGTTACTTGGAAAAGCGCCAATGCTTATGTTGTACTTCACTCGTTGTCCTTTTCTTTTTTTAAATGATCTCACTTAATGCTTTTCTCATACTTTTGCTGCGTTGCCACACTGTGCCAGAGTTCGCTGGTCCATCTGCGTTTCGCATCATGGTCCTCATTTGCATCATTGCTTCCGTGCCGTGGGCGACTTCGTACGAGCTCCGCAGTAGCGCGGTGGGTCTGATGGATGAGATGACCAGTAAGTGTGGTCAGGGATGATGCGTGTCAAGACTGAGCTAGCATGGAATGGTCAATACTCCATCATGTTCAGATCAGGCATGTGATTTAGGGCGTACAAGTTATTTCTGGAATTCTCCGTTTAATATTTCAGACCTTTGCTGAGAATAACTGACCGGAATTGCGGACTGTGACGTCATTGGTTTGTATGCGCTCACTGTACGTTTAGTAACACCAGTTAGCAGGGCATGTTTTTCCGAGTCGTATGCTCATGCTCTAAAATAACCTTGGGGCTCCTACCGAGCTCATAAAACACCCAGATTAAAAATATCAGGGAGTCTATGTTTAAAATAATCCAGCCTTACATTTTAATGTTTGAAGAAGAAGCCGTACATGTTATTGTTTGGTATGTGAACCACACCGCATGGTTTGTAGAGAAGACAATGTTCTTGTTACACAGATGAGGATGGTTCCTGGATCAAGTGGGTTGTGGATGAGGGGATTGCTAACACTTCCAGGTAGGTCCTGTTCGCCATTCTATTTTTTTTTTTTTTAACAAAAGCAGTGATGCAAATGACGGCCATGGAATAAAACGGGGAAGGACATCCCCGGACTCACGCACATACAGGCCAGTGCTAACTGGGGGGATGGATTTGGTAGGGAGGGGCAGTGGGGAGGAGTTGGAGATGGGAAGGGAAGGGTGGTAGGATGCTGTAGATGCAGTGCTCATGAATGAAGTTCTCCACAATTAATTAATCAAGAGTAAGACAAACTCTGGTACTCTATGGCAATAATGTAGAAAGTATGGTATTATCTTTTTTTCTCATGTCCTGTGGTCTATGCCCGTTTACCTGCCTCTCCTTTCACCTTGTCTTTATTTTCCTCCTTAATTTACTTTTGGGGCAAAAGATCAGAGGACCCTCATCTCCAAAGGACTTTGTCCTTATCGTTTCTGGAGCTTGAGCTCTCCTTGTGGTGGGTAGTTCACTTTAAACTCAGGTCTTTGGGTAGATGGGTTTTGTCAGCCATCTTCTTTGGTCACTCATTGTCACACTCTTGAGTATTCAGAGAACACCGATTTGGTTAAAGACAGAGAACCGAGAACCTTTGAAGAGCGTTCTCTATAGATACACGAGCGATTGATAATCAATACATCATCACTATCTTTTTAAAGACTCCACAATTTTAATCTCCACTGATAAGAAAACCCAAGCATGTGTTGATAGTGGATAAAAATCTGTGAACATTGTCTCCTAAATAGGTCTTTAATGATGGAGATAATTTCTCCTGAGATTTGCATAGCACTAATTGGTATTATTAGAAGGACTTAGGATTTTGCTCTTATTTTTCTAGGCTAAGGGCTGTGGAAAGTAGACCTTTGAAGAGCCGTTACTTCATGATTGGCCTTTCTCTTTCCCGGAGAGATGTTGCAGTTTGAGAAATGAGCCTCAGTCCTTTTTCAGACCAAGGGGAAATTGGGTTGGTCAGGAAGCGTATTTTTCTGTCATATTTTCATGCGTGAAAGTAATAAGCTTGGGGGCTCTTGTCAAGTTGGTAGAATGGTGAGACTAGAAAATTAGGACGTCTAAAACTGTAGGTAGTCAGTCTCTGTGAGGACAGAAATGCTACTAAACACAAGGTTAATTCTTAGAAACAATGGGAGAAATACCTACAGGAAGATCCCCTTCCATCTGTCTGACCCCAGCTACGTGTCCACTGTCTCTCAAGAGCAGCTTGCCTCTATGTTCTTTTTCCTCCTATTGCCCTGTCTTGGTACTAGACACATAGAGTCAGGAGCCTCTCTCTCCCAGTGCACCTCACCCCACTTCTCTTTAAGTTTTCAAATCTTTCCTATGGCCCTTTAATTTACTGGTTTACATTTTTCTTTGGTCCAGCACAAGTCTGGGGTGGTGTTTTTTGGTCCTGGAAGATTAAGATCTGTCTGAATTGTTCTTTTTGTTTCTGTAGGAGCTACTATTTAATAAGCCACTTTTCTCTCAACTCAGTGCTTTTTGGGTGGAATCTCTGGAAAATTTTAAGATTGCACTGTAGCCCCAGATGGAGGCAGCGAGAGTGTGGGCTTTAGGTTTTGACAGGTACAAAAGATCCTGATTCTTCTTTGATGTAGCGTGACATTTTCAATTTTAGTCTCCTTATCCGTGAAGCCTATATGTTAGTACCAAACTTGTAAGACTTCTCTGGGAGTTAATGAGACAGCATTTGGTAGTTTGTAGCTGTTTGGCTAGTGTGTATATAACCCCCACCGTTGTGACGGAAGGTGGTATATGTTGATAGTTCAGACTCCAGCTCGGGGCTACTTGTTTAAATCCTGGGCTACATGCAACCTCACTGGCCCTGTGGGAAGAGATGCGAGCTGTCAAGTGAGTCTTAGCTGCATATTATCAGTGATGCTGTCCCACCTCAGGGAAACACAAAGAGACTTGAAGCATAGTGTCTAACTTTTGCTTCCCTACACAATCAAAGACCTACTATCCAGTTGCTCGGTGCCTTAGTTACCTCACCCTGCAGGTGAGGGTGATGATAATGATTGCTCCCATCTCCTAACGAGGACCAAGTGAGTAGAGACACGAGATGTGCCTGTGTCTGATGCCATGCGTTAACTATGGTAAGGGCAGCTGATCTTTCTCTTAGAGCCCTTACTCAGTATCGCTTCACTTCTGTTGTTAATATTTCTTCTTCACAGTTCTCCCGACTGACAAGACCACCATCTATCTGTGCCAATTGGATGACGGGTCAATTTGCCTTGTTACTGAATTCATTAAAAAACAAAAACAGAAACCTTGTTAAATTTCTAGAGAAATCTGTTTGGTTGTTCAATAGGAATTGCTGTCGGGGCAGATGCCGTACTCTGGTGTTCTTGGCTGCTTGCCTGACTATGGTTCTAGGCTTGGTTTTTACCTGTGTTTCCAAAAGGATCTTATCTTAAGGACAGGATTCTTCATTTTTTTTTTTGCCAAGAAGAGAAGCAATGATTTATATTAATTCCTGACCATATTGATAATGAAAGCAATTTTTTTTACTTATCTAAATTAAAATGAAACAAGTTGGGTAACATTTCTATAAATCTCTCATCATCAAGAATTTATCATCTCAAGTCTTGTCTGCAAAGTCAGCCATTAAAAGTATAATTGTTATTAATCTTCCTTATTAACAAATATAATGGAGGCATGTAGAGTGCAGGGAACACTGACTATCTGGACCCAGCAGGGGAACTGACTATCATGGCTAAATCATCATTCTTGGAAGTTGGACTATGTGATGTAGAGAAAAGTTTGATTTCTCACATTGAAGTGATAAGACTAAAACATGATGATTATTTTATCAAATATAATAAGATCAGGTGTATTTTCCAAATATATTGCATTTAAATTTACATTCCCACACATGCCAAGTTTTAAATCGTTGTTTCTGAAAGCTAATCACATCTCTGAAGACATGCCTTTTGTACCTTTGCCCTTAACAGAACAATGAGAACGAAACCGCCCTGCACTGTGCTGCTCAATACGGACACTCGGAAGTCGTTGCTGTTCTCCTGGAAGAGCTCACGGACCCCACGATTAGGAACAGCAAGCTCGAGACCCCGTTGGACTTGGCGGCCCTCTACGGACGGCTGAGAGTGGTGAAGATGATCATAACCGCACACCCAAACCTGATGAGCTGTAACACCCGGAAGCACACGCCGCTTCACCTCGCCGCCCGCAATGGTCACAAGGCGGTGGTCCAGGTGCTGCTGGAGGCAGGAATGGATGTGAGCTGTCAAGTGAGTGTTTTAGTCCTCCGTGCATTCAAAGGTGATGCTGCTCTCCGGCTAGTATGTATGGTAGAAGTTGAGCAGGAGGCTCGCTGTTGGTGCTCTTTTCCCTTGACTATGGTAGCATCTAACCTGTCCTGTATCAGCGAGTCTTTCACTTCTATTATACATCTCAGTAAATTCTTTAAACCTCTCCCAGACTCTTGGGTATTCTCGGTTCAACTTACTAAAAAATTTTAAAATTCTGTTTCATGTTTATGATGCTTTGCCTGCATGTGTGTGTGTGTGTGTGTGTGTGTGTGTGTGTGTGTGTGTGCACCATGGCAGGTGTGGAGGTCAAAGAGGAACTTGCGAGGAGTCAGAGGAGTCAGTTCTGTCCTTCTACCTCGTTGTTCAGGGGGTTGAGCTCGGGCGGTCAGGTTTGGCAGCAAGTACTCCTCCGCTGAGACATCTCACAGACCGTCTCTCCTTCCTGGTCCTTTAAGTGAACTTCCTCTTTATAATCATTCAGCGCTACACTTGTACCTTTGGGTCTGGCTCCCCTGTCTACTGGGATAGGTCACGCCGGCAATAGTCCCGCTCTCTTTAACTTTGTTTTTCCTTCTCAACTGTATCATTCACACAAGGACGCAACAAAATTAGCATATTTCTTGTCTTTAAAAACGAATGCTCATGATCTCACAATTCCTTTTAGTTGTTATCCCCTGTCTCTGATTTGATTTATATTTGTTTATTTTTGTGATTACTTTTTAAAATAAGATAGCCCGAACTCAGTATTATTAGGTTACATATCCCATAATTCTTGAGGTATAGCTGCAACAGGAAAACACAAGTTCTAGTATGTGTTTGGGATGGACACAAATGGCCATATCCCAGCGTAGTAATGCAGAATCAACTCGCTGTGGCCAGGAGTGATTGAGAACTGTTAGCTAATCACTTAGAGGCTCTAGCATCTGGAAGACCAGAGTAGGAGCTGTCACCAGAAACAGACATTCGTAGGTTTTCATGGGATGGTGTCATGAGGAAAACCCTTAAAAATCAAGGTGGCCTAAAGCTTAAGGTCCTGTCAGGAGCATAGAGGACACACGTGTGTAAGTAATCCTGTCTTCTTAGTGGTTTCCATGTAAAATATGCAGACTAGCAAATTCATATTGTGGAAGGCAGACAGCAGGAGGAGCCAAACGGTAGCCGCTCACCTCATCCCTTGGTCCCTGCTGCCATCTGATCTCCACAGGTCAGTATCCCACGACCTGGCACGCAGACATGCTTCCTTTTTGTCTGCTCTTATTTCTGTGTCGACCTCATTTAGCCTCTTAGCTCCAAAGACATATTTATCTCCTAAGTACCAAATTTCTTTCCTTTCTTTTGTCCTCCCTCCCTCCCTCCCTTCCTCTTTCCCTCCCTCCCTTTTCCTCTCTCCCTCCCTTCCTCTCTCTTTTCCTCCTTCCCTTCCTCTCTCTCTCCCTCCCTTCCCCTCTCTTTTCCCCCTTCCCTTCCTCTCTCTCTCTTCCTCCCTTCCTTTCTCCCTTCCTCCCCCTCCCTCCCTCTCTCTCTTTCCCCCTTCCTCTCTCCCTCCCTCCTTTCTCTCTCCCTCCCTTCCTCTCTCTCTTCCTCCTTTCCTTTCCCCCTTCCTCTCTCCCTCCCTCCTTTCTTCTCTCTCCCTCCCTCTCTCTCTTTCCCCCTCCCTCCCTCCCTCCCTTCTTTCTTCTCTCTCCCTCCGTTCCTCTTTCTCTCCCCCCTTCCCTTCTTCTCTCCCTGTCTCCCTTTCCCTTTCTCTTTGTATCTTTTTTCCCTGGACTTTGCTCTGAACTCTAAACTACTGTGTGTAATTACCTCCTGGATGTGTTACTGGATGGCTAATGAGCGTCGCGGACTCATTACTTCCCAAACCGAAGGTTTAGCTGTTATACCCATTTCTTTCCACGGCTGCCAAGTCCTTGTTCATTCCCATTTCAGCCAGGGACTTTCTTCCGCTGTCACCAGTCTTTGGGCATCGTTCATGCGTCGCCTTCCTCAGAGCACATCCTCCAGGCTCCGAGGTTAAGCTGTGCTTAACAGTACCGTCCACAGTATCACCTTAGCCCTCATCCTCTCCATCTCTCGCTTCCTATGTTTCTCTGGTTTCCCCTCTCCTCTCTTCACTGTTCAAGCTGCTCTGACAAATACCCTAGGCTGAGTAGCTTAGGTAAGAGGCATTCATCCCCCCACTCCCCCACGGGTTACCAAGTCTAGGATCAGGGTCTCAGCCAAACTAGTTCTTTGGTAAGCAACCTCCTCCTGCCTTGTTAATTTCCTCCTTCGCGTGACCTTTCTTCCGCATAGAAACGGAGAGTGAGTTCTCTGCTGTGGCATCATCTTAGAAGGACCCTGGTACCATCAGATTAGCGCTCTATTCTTAGTGGAGAAGCTCCCCGTGACAAAGTTACAAGAGGCACACCAGCAGGGTAGCTTCATGCAGTCGTGTGTTCACATGTGTCCATTGAGTGTGAGCAGAGTACCAGGCCTTGCCTGCCATGCATCAGGGTTGCAGCAGCAAGAAAACCAGACAGGGACTTCCGCTGTGCTTGAAAGGTACTCTTGACAGAGCGGAGTAAAGAGAAGTGAGATCTCGGGGAGAAGGTTGATGCAGTAGCTGGTTCACAGGAAGTGTCTGTTTTTTTTTCGTTTTGTTTTAGGATAGTGGTAACGTTGCACACCACAGTGAGACTCCCATGCAAACCATGCTCACCTCGTGGTGACTGCATGAGAAACATGGCGGGGTGGTGGCTCCATGTGTCTGTTGTGTCTGCACGAGGATGTGAGTAGATGCGCATCATCTACTTAAAACCAGACATGGCTGTTCACATCTGCAACCTCAGAGCTGGCAGGCCGAAGCAGGTGGGTCCGGGGGATGCTGACCCGCCAGTTTAGCCAAAATAGTGAGCTCCAGGTTCAGGGAGAGACCCTGCCGGCAAGACTGGCGGAAGAGCCAAAGAGGAAGACGCGGCAGCATGGACCTCTGTTTCCAGTAGGTGCGCATATACCCCTCGCACACGAGAAACTTCTATTAGTTGTTTTTTATTTTTTTAAATAAAAAAGAAGTTAAAGAAGCCATGGTCCCACAATAACCTTCAAATGCGTCTTTATTACCACCTATTTCTTAAAGGTCATCATCTGGTTCCCAAGCCTTCAACACATGGCCCTGGAGAAACATTTGATACCCAAACTGCTACACACAGATTAAAGTGGACACTTATTATCTACTCTCAAGAACTGGGGAAAATGCCTCTGTCCACACAGAAATACTTTTTAAAGAGTTGGAGCTGTTTCTACAGTTTTGTCTTCAGTTCAGAGCTGTATATTTATGAACTGCTTTTTTTTATTTCCTTTTATATTATCGCCTGCCATAGCAGTCACATTTTAATTCAGAGAACTTGAGTCATACTTCTTGAGGATGCATACAGATCTCATTGATATTCCATGTTCTCTAATCCTTTTCCCCAATATGCTTATTTTGGGTTGTTTTAACTACAGAATACATATTTATTAATTAAAGAAACATTTGCATCTTACATCTTACGTCATCATGAGTGTGTTTCAAATCGAGGTTTTAACATCAACTTCGTGGCTACCTTATAAGGTAGAAAGACAAAGTTGCCAGATTAACCTTACTCACAGCAAACACTGAGGAACTAATTGGCATTCGTTAGATTCTTAGGAGAGAAAGAAAAATCAAAACAGAGGACATTTGTGTTAGCCTAAAAATCCCTTTCTCTTTGGAATCTTTCCTGATCTTCCTCAAGGAAGAATATTGGAAAAAGGAGATGCTGTTTGCCTTTCCACTGAGCCTATGGTTGATTCGGGGAGCAAAATTCTGATGTGTTATTTATTATAAATGCTAGGGGAAGAAAATACATATGGATATGAAGTACACAGAAAAACCATGGATTTCTGGGGTCAACGAACAGTTTCTTTGGTGAAATAATGTTAAGCTAAGATTCTGACTGTCATGTAGTTGACTATTCTCAAAGCATATTCCTTTGGACTCGGGGCATCATGTGGACCTGTTAGAGATTGAGATTTTTGAATCTCATCTCTGGTCAGTGAAGCAGAAACTGGGAATGGGGTTCCAGGAGTCTAAGGGCTTGCTTCTTCCCTCCCAGCTTCCTTTTCTCCTTTACTATATCTCCTCCCTCCCTCCCTCCGTCCCTCCCTCCGTCCCTCCCTCCGTCCCTCCGTCCCTCCCTCCCTCCCTCCCTCGCTCCCTCCCTGTCTTTCTTCCTACCTATCTGTTCCTGCCTTTCTTCTTTTTTTCTTCATCATTATTATTATTTTATGTGTGTGGGTGTTTTGTTTGTATTTGTGTCTCTAGAGCACGTATGTGTCGTGTGCCCGAGGAGGACAGAAGAGGGTGTCAGATGCCCTGGAATGGGAGTTGCAAGGCCTGAGAGCTGCCATGAGAGTATTGGGAATCGAACCTGGGTCTTCTGGAAGAGTTGCCAGTGTTCTTAGCTCACTCAGCCATCATCCCCTTTTCAGTCCTGCGGTCTTTCTTCTGTTTCAGTTTTTAGATGAAGTCACAGGTCATGCTGTGTGTCCCAGACTGGCCTTCAGCTCGCTATGTGAGCCTTTGAACTTGGAGTGATCCTTTCCCTCAGTTTCCCTAATGCTGGGACTACAGTATTGTGTCACCATGCATGGCTAGGATTATTTTTTTTTTTAACAAGTTCTCCTAGTGAGTCCAAGAACTCATGTTGACCACTGAAATACAAGTAGTTAGTTGAGCGTTATCCAAATCTAGAGGGCTGAGAGCTGGAGCTGCCTGTTCAGGAAAGAACCTGAGATCCTTGGCAGGAACAGCAGAGAACAGTGTTGAGAAAGAATAAGGTCAGTGTTCCTGGAGCGCCGAGTATGGGTCAGCTGGAGGTTTACGGGGAGAGGAGAGAGTGTGCAGAGGAGCATGGAGGTCTTCCAGGATTTGAGAGCCACTTCAAACTGTTTAGATTTCATTCACCACAGACGCTTATCTGCAGATTTGTCTTCTTCAATGCGGTGGGAATATACAAGGTCCAGGAGATATTTCTGTGTTGAGAACGCCCTTTGCTCAATGGACATATAATCATGTTTAATAGATGTCCGCTGAGTGAACTCGTGGGCACTCACAAGAGCCTGGTGCAGTGGGCGTTCAGCTCCTAGTTGATGTCTGAGCACAACTAAGGCAAGGAGAAGGTGAGTCACTTCCCTAACTTAGCGTAACTATTCGAACACAGGTCTCTAGACGTTGTTCCTGGAACATCTCCCTCCCTGCTGCTTCTCTGACCCAGAGTGCTGAGAATGTACAGAATCTGTAAGGGTGGCTGTTTGTACAGTCTGTGGGAATTCCATATGCAGCTCTGTCTTTTTTTCTTTTTCTTCTCAGACAGAAAAGGGGAGCGCTCTCCACGAAGCGGCTTTGTTTGGGAAGGTGGACGTGGTGCGAGTCCTGTTAGAAACAGGTAGTTATCCCTGTGCTCCCGGGAGCCTGTCCTGCCAGCTGCTGTGGCTGTTTCAGGGTTAGCTGAAGGAAGATGGCGGCCTTCTTCACAAACGACCCCTTCCTCCAAATTGCAGAGAGGGAGTCCCACTGTGTGGAACTGGGCTTTGATGTTCAGATAAGGTTGATATAAATATCCAAGCGAGCTGAAGAAACCGCCAAGAGGAAAAGGAAGATCTCTGCTTTTGGCAAGATGGAGGGACTGGCCCCCGAGGAGTTATGGCAGTGGTGTGGACTCTTGGTTTTTTCCACTGTGACCCATGGTCATACAGATTTGGGTCCCTGCTCCTTAGGGCAAATTCTCCTTCTTGCTACTCTTTGGCCCAGTAGCTGTTCACTGGCTATGGAGGTTTATTTTTAAAAGGAGCATTATAAAGGGAATATTTTGAAGGGAAAACAAAGGTAGGTTTACTGTTTGTTCTGACTGGAATGGGGTAAGTTGAAATTGAGGTCAGACTTTTGAGACTCGAGAGATACGAGTGCAAATTATTCCTCCACACAGTTGATGTGAGCCATGGTCTGTAGCACAGTGTGTTTATTGACTCTGTGAACAAGAGCCATGGTCAGGCTATTGTGCCTTTTTCCTGTGTTCACTGTGTTAAATGTTCGTGTTACTTAATTTTGACATGCAGCATAGTAATAGAATAAATGACCTGAGACGCCAATTAAAATACATACTACCTATATTCTCACATAAACTTAAGCTGGTGTTTAATAATCTTACAGTGCTCCAACATCTGGGGTAAAATACTCTACACTAGCTTCATTTGAAATCAGGTATTCAGAAAGTTCACAAACTGGATTAGAGTGCTGGAACTCTAATGGCTGCATCAAAATATTTTTTTTAGTGTGACACATAATTTTGGAACTAAATCATATCAGAAATGTTTCAGTCACACAGTTAAGTTGGTTTGCTGAAATAGCTTATGAGTGTGGCCGGCCCTGGAGATAATCTGAAAGAAATGAGTATCCAGGGTATCTGAAGTATACAGTCCACAGACACTTGAAATAATTAGACTTTTTCAAATTTGCTTGCATTGAATATTCTAAGCGTTCTTACATCATAATATGTATGATTATCATTTATTAACATTTTAAAATTGAATTATACAGATTATACAAATCACTTCATCATTACACTTTAGGATTTTAGTTTATAAGTAAGAAATATTTTTTACTTTGATAGTACACTATTTATTTAATATACTAGCCCCAACCCCAAAGAAACTCTGTGGTCCTGCAAAGCAATCTCTATAACAGTGTCGGAGAACTCTAAGAGTCAATTCATTATCAAGAATTTTCCACATTATTAGCAACATTCGGCCCCTGCCTTCTCTCCTGTTAAAGTCTTATGTGTTTAACTTAGTTTCTAAGGCACCTTCGGTGCTTGGCCTATATGCGTGTGAAATTAGAACAGTTACATATTGGCAGTATCATCCAAGGACACTCCAGTTTCTCTTTTTCCTCCAGGAATTGATGCCAACATCAAGGACAGTTTAGGTAGAACTGTCTTAGACATTCTGAAAGAGCATCCATCCCAGAAATCTCTCCAGATTGCAACGCTCTTGCAAGGTAAGCAATATCGGATGGTGGATGACTTTGCCTTACAGCCACGGTTAAATTGAAGCTGTCATAAGTTTTAATCGGGGCTTTGAGTTAGTGTTTGATTTTTAATTAGCTCATTATTTCTATATTTTTCCTGGCATATTTTAAGATGAATAATAATTCATTTAAATGTTTTCGTTCTGTGTTTACTCTGTACTGAAAGAGTTACTCATGTACTACTTGATATAAAAATGTTTAAAAAATCATGTAGTAAATGTGGAACCTGCTAGCTTGAAGTTAATAGGCCCTAGGAACTGGTAATGATCCAATATTATCTTCCCTTTGAATAACACCATAAGATTTTTTTCATAGACTTTTCTATAATTTTGTCTGATTTCTATAATTATGAAGTAGCTATGTATCATCGACCTTACTCATGAGGGACACTGGAGCTCTGATAGATTTTTTTTGCTTGCTCATACTCCTATTTCTGCCCTGTGCCATGTAGCAGAGATAATACATGAAGGCTGAACTGCCAACAGCTGAAAGTGCAGTTGGCCGAAAGAACTCCAGTCATTCCTCCTGCAGGTAGATTGGTTACAAGTGCAATAGTGGAGAGAGAAGCAAGGCAGCTCCTTATCAGATGGGAAAGTGAAGAACAGCATTGCTTTGTAAGAAAACTTCTGAATGAAAACCAGATGGGGCTATGGAAATGTGGATACAGGGGTCAGGGAAAGCCATATGGGTATGGAGGTTAAATGGTCACCATGCTCCTTTCTTAACTGACTTCTAAAGCCTTTCCTGGAAGCTTAGGCCCCTATAAGTTTGTTTCTTTGTCAAAAAAGAAGATGAATGCAAGTCAGAACACCTCCAGGTGAATCAGAGAATCCAAGTATGACTTTTCATATTAATTCTAATTAAGTCAAGTTGGATGAACACTAAAAAGAAAAATGGCGTACCTTGTTCTTATCTATCGTCTACCCTCAATGCATTTGTATTTCAGGTTAGACTTTTGCCTTCAACGGAACTTTAAAAATCCTGACTTTTGTGGATATTATATTTTTGGAGAAAGTAAAATAAAATTTTCTTACTAAAAGGGGGCAAGATATAATTTTAGGGTTTTCAAACATATTAGATGGTTCAGTATGATAAAAATATCCTGTCGGAGCAAACTGTCTGCTTCATTACAGGCCAAGGTTGATTAAGTGTATCAGTTTGCACTGGGGTATATTAGGAGAATTTTTAGTATTTCCTGTCACTGGAAAATACCTTATATTATTTCCTTTCTTAGATGTTTTTGGTATTGAAATAAAGTCAATTTATCAATGGCTTTCTCAATTATAAATTACCAATTTGTAGTTACAAATTACAACGATTTTTGTTGTTGTTAATATTGCTGTTAAATTTACATAGTTACTACATGGTCCAGAAATTTTCAGGATACGATTCTGCAGGTTACTTTCTTTTCCTGGTCGAATTTGCCTTGTAGACTTGTCCTTTGATCTAAACTATTCTAAGGGTGCGGGGACACAAGTGGCTGGCGTACAACATACATATTCACAAGTGGAGTCTCATGAAGCAGATTCTTTCTGAATAAAGAATACAAGCAAAGGACCCCAGTGGGAGATCTGATTCACTCCATCAGAAGAGGGCTATAAACCAGCCCTACACAGGCTGAACTCTTTTGGGGTGTGGCAGATATGTTTCTTTTAGGTCACACATATTTTATGAGCACTGTTCTCTGAAGAACAAAATTAGTTGCTGGCATTTAAAAAAATCCAGAATTATAGTTAAATCTTTAGAATTTTGGCGTCTGTGAAAATACAGGCTCCTGGCTTATGAAAGTGCCGAACTTTTAGATGGAGCACCTGCCATTAAACATGCCCTGTGCTTCCTGTGTTAGCCAGGCTGAATATTCTTTGACATTTATCTGGGTATCCAGTGTAGTTTCCCTTAGGATTAAGACAAAGGTAACATGTTTTCATATCCTTTGTCTATCTGGTTCTACCATTTGTTAGCGGAATGAATTAACAAAACTCCTCTTTTAAGTTGTCGTCTTTAAGGTTGAGGTAGAGCTGGGTGTGGTGATGGATACCTGGAATCTCAGAACTCATGAAGCTAAGCCAGAAGGGTCACAAGTTCAAGGTTAGCCTGGGCCACATAATGGGTCCCTATCTCAGATCTCGAATACAACAGCAACGCCCCAGACCTATGCAAACTGAGCTAGCAATAGTGAACATGCCAGTTTCATAAGGATTATACAGGCAAACATATTAAGTATTAAGAACTAAGCTGTTATTATTATGACTTTATAGAAAAAGCAAAAGCAAAAGATAAGTTGCATGCAGGATATTATTTCAAGAGTAACAGGGGTGAGTATTTTTTCTGTATATAAATAAAATGTAGCACAGATATTATGCTTATCTTTCAAGCCCACACCACCTTTTCATCCACTTCTGTTACTCAAGAGGTTGGTTATAGTCATCTGGTTTGAAGTCTCTGTGTTAGTAACAGTATCTACTTGACACGTCTTCTGGGGGACTTTAAATTGCCAAACAGAAAATATTTAACAAGAGCAAAAGGCACTTGTGTCTCCAGTGAACATGTTTATCTTTAAGGAAACACATGTTTTTACTTAAATGTTTTATTAAGCTTCTCTTGAAGTTCTCCGGGTTTGGTTCAGTTTCGTTTTATTCTTTTTTTGAAGAACTTGTGATAGCTATTGATTTTTGTTACACACGCATCCAAGTGCATAACCTCGGAAATTTGTATTTCCAGACTATTTAGAAGGCGTGGAAAGGTCAGCCGTCCTGGGAGAGCATGCTCAGGAAGACACGCCGCAAGAGACACACCTTTCGTCTCCCGCTGAGTCTCCTTCCCAAAAGAGTAAAAGTGCGTACCTGACGAAAGCCCCGGAAACAGTCATACCAGACTTCTCCGGTCAGATCTGCCTAAGTGCATTAGATGGGCCAACACCAGTGGACCTTTCCAGTCTAGTTATTTGTGGCTTGTGCTTTGCATTTTGTATACTTACTTACTCAGTCAACATTTATAGATTTTTCTGCTGCTTGCTTGGGAGGGCTCGTGGCGCTGACATAGGGCACTGATCAAAGCAGTTAGGAATCCTTTCCGAAATAAAGTTTACGTGGAGTAGAAATGGCTATTTTCACGAATGTATCTTCCCTAGCTTTATTGAGGCATATCTGGCAAATAATAATTTTATGTTTGTAGCATAGAATGTGACGTTTTGACATGCACACACACACACTGTGACTTTCCTGTCGCATTCAAACTAATTAACAAATGTTTCACTTTGCATAATGACAGCTTTATGTGGTGAGGACAATATCAAATGTCCTGGGGAATTCGGGGACATATGATAGTATTTTTACCCATCTTCACCGCACTGCCCTATACATTAGATGCCCTGAGTTGACTTGTTCACCCCTAACCGAAACCGTGAATATTTTAATCACTAGATCCATCATCCCCTTCTCACCACGGCCTATAGTAACCACTATCCCACTGTCTGCCTTGATAAGTTAACCTTTATAAGTTGCCCATATGTGCAAGGTCAAGCAGTATTTGTTTATTTCAGCCTCATTCAGCTCAGCAAAATCACTGCCAGTTTCGTTAGTGTTTCTCAAAAGAAAGCGGCCCTTCGTTTAAGCATTCACAATGGTCTGCTATTTATTTTTCTATTTTTCCCTCTCTATCTCTCCAACCATGGACGTTTAATTTTTCCTCATATTTCAGTCATCCTAAGTAGGGTTTCAGCTAAAATGGGGCTATGTGTATTTCTCTTAAAGATGTTGACTTCATTTACTTGAGGTCAGCGCTAGAAGTAGGATGCTGGTACCGAAGAACACGCGTGTTTTCTACAGTGGCGCGTATATTCACACAGCGGCGTGCAGGCTCTCCTTGACCCACAGCCTCACCAGCACCTGCTCTCTTCCGTCATTTTGATTATATCCACGAGATATGAGATCACTTTGTGATTTTAATTCCTGGTCCCCTGATGGTCAGTGATTTTGAACTTTTTTTTTTTTATGTATCTACTGGCCAATCGTATTTCTTTTTTTTGGAGAAATAGAAGTCTATGCGTTTAGCCCCTTTGTCAATTGAACTTACAAGACAGACGATAATATTGTCTATTCCTCCATTTCCCCCTTTTTCTCATATATCACAATCCCAATTGTCCACATGTGTAATTATTTGTTTAAAGAAGTTAATACTTTTTATGTCCCATTGAAAATAGGAAGTAAGTGTTTGACATTATTTTAAGCTTGTTAATGAGTCATGGATCCTGTCAGTGGAGTAAAATGCCAGTAAGAATGGAGAAATAGATCCAAGTGTCAGCAGTTAGCCCTGGCCTACCCTGTGTGAAGGACTGAGTTCACTGCCCATTCTGCAGCCACAGAAAGTCAGATTCTATCATAAATAAAACAGTAGCTAGTTAGGACTATTTGTCCTTAAACTTTCAATACTGATTTCTATTTTGACAAAGAATAGCTATAGCCAAACTTTGAACTTCCTCTGCCTGTTAGCATGCTCATGTTCATTTCTTACTTTATGTTACTATGTCATATGCATTATGTAAACATGTGTTATGTAAATATATGAATATGCAAATATGTTAATTATGCTTAGTACCTTGCTCTGGCCAGATGTTTCTACCTACTTACTTGCTGTGTTTTGTCTTCTGTCAACATAGTAGTCTCGTTTATATTATTTAACATTACACTTTAGTAATACTATTTCTTGCAACATCTGAAAAAAAAAAACTGTTTTCTTCTAGGTGAAACTGTCACCGGGGAACTATCAAAACTCCTGGATGAAATAAAACTCTGTCAGGAGAAGGATTATTCCTTCGAAGATTTGTGCCATACGATTTCAGACCACTACCTAGATAATTTGAGCAAGATTTCAGAGGAAGAACTTGGGAAAAATGGAAGCCAGAGTGTAGTAAGTAAGGGGGGCATGAAGACAACGCGTGCGTCCGTCTGTCTTTCCGCGTCTGTCTTTCCAGTGTGGTGCATGCCACCGTGGCATGGGAACGGTCGACTTACTAGGTTATCAGGTTCACTATGTCGAATGTCAGTCAGTCTCCCTGTGAGCTTTTCCCTACTGTTCATGGGGTTGTCTCTCTGCAGCGGGTGCAGGGGAAGAAGAATGCTGGGGATGGACTGAGGGGGTGGCCCAGGGCTAATCGTTTGTCATGGTGTCACTAGGGTTAGACTTCCTTCTGTGACATGCAAGTTGCAGTTTCTTTGAGAATGGATATTTAATTTAATTGAGCATAATTTCCTCGACTCTTGAAGGAAAAAAAAAAACATTTCTTTTGTCTGTCCTCTCTGCTGTCTCTATAACTCCTCCTTAAGAACAAAATACAGCAAAACCACGTGTATAATTCTTTAGTTACGGTGGGACAGCTCAGCTTACATGTTTTCATGACATTAGATGCCCAGAGAGTCCCATTTGTGACCTCAGGATCTAAAGTATGAGTTAGATATCCTTGTTGATTGTAGCTTTTTCTATCAACAATCGCAAAAAAAATGTAATTGATCAGTTTTAAATTATGGGTTATAAGCCCACTTTTGGCCATGAAGGCATGATTCATAGTCTGTAGAGGATTGAAGGAAATAGGTTGTTTGATACAAACTATTTACTCACTTTTAGGACTTGATTTGCTAGAGCAGTCCGGCACGTTACTCGAGAGTATATAATAGAGTACACCGCGATAAGTATGTCATATTATTTTAAAAATTCAAAACAATTCTCAGTATGGTGCTTGTCCGTTTCGGGAACTTGCACTTTGTTTCGCTCCTGGAACGGAGGCGTGACACCGTTTCTCCGGAAATCGCCTGCTGATCTAGTTCAACAGCTAAACTTACCTCCCAGCCCTACTTTTTTTGGTTGTTGTTCCATTTTTTTTTTCTTTGCGGCTGTCCCATTACTGCCCTTCCTCCAATCCATTACAAATAACTGGAATAATTATATATACCTTACACCAGAAGTTTATAGGCTTTACAAAATAAAAATCTTTTATTAATGAGATATTTATATTCATCAGCATAAAATGCCCCTCTTAGAAGCCAAAAACTATCTTCAAAGTACAGATTATTGCAGCCTAACATCTGTTGGAAAGCCACTTAGAACTTGGAGCGTAGTTGAACCATAGAACTAATACAGGATGCCTGGATTTTTATAGCCATCCCTAAAGCTTTCTATCAATTGTCAAATTCTAGATCATCCTTCGAAACCCACAGATATCCACAAGGCCCTAATGTTCTAGGTCAATGCTTTCTAAAGGCTTTTTATTAAATATGTTCACAAACCAACTTAGACAAACATTCCTCGTGTGTTGATATATATGTGTTGATATAGATATAGATACACACACACCAATAATATCTATCTATATGCACATACACGCACACACACTATCCCAGTGCTACATATGCAAACCAAGAGAGATTTACTTCACAAGAAATCAAGAAATTCAGTTAGGAAAACAGAGACAAAGTCCAGCAGAAGCTCTAAATGTTTTTCTTTTACCCTGCATCTTGTGTGCCTGGGCTCTGTGTTCTTTTTGGAGAGTGGGATGTAGGCGTATACGTTTTAGGGAGTGAGGATAGGAGCTCTTGGCACACATACGTTTTGGAGAAGGTGGCTACTTTGCTTCACTAACTGAAGCAGCAAGGGAGAAACTAATGCTCATGGTTGAAACTAAGTCTTCCCTAGTTGAGCCCAGACGTTCCTATACTCTTAGTTCTGGTGACAAATAATCTAACCGTATTCCTTGAAATTGCTGTCGTATGAAAATATCAAAGGTTAAGTAAGGTGGGGTAGCAGAAAGTATACATAGGAGCAAGAGATTCCATTTATTAGTAATAGAATTTACTGAGGGCAAGGATGAGAAATACGATTAAAGGGATTAATGTAGTTAGGTGTAGGTGGTTTGAATACTGGGCTTAGCGTTTTGATATTTATTCTTTAGGAAATGAGAAAAACATAAAAAAATTTGGGCAGATAAAAGCCATCATTGGAACTGGTCTTTCAGAAGATAAATCTGGCAGAAACATCACTGAATGTTCAAAAAGCCATCCAATTACTTTGACCTACTCTATAGCCTATTTCTTATCTGTATTCATCTGTTCTGTCTCTTGTTTGTTTCCATTTGTTGAAGTATTTTTCCTCGAGTATTGCTAAGGATTGTCCCCTCATGATACGAACAGCTTAATAAAGTGCTTTTAGGTCGCCTAGTATAGGCGGCCATTGCCGTGTTCAAAATTATAGGTAGGTTCACTATGCAAGACTGTAGTTGACTTCAGAGAGTTCAAGACTCCCATCTCAAGGAGCCTTCAGTCACTGTTTATAGACAAGACTAACACATAAAATAAATATGTATATTATGAATTGATACTTAATAGGTGCTTGCTACCTATTATTCTAGTGTTTTATGTGATTCAAACTACGACTAAACAGTCCTAATGGTGAAATTATAAATTTGGGAAAGGACTCATCTGGCATATGCCACACTGAAGATTTAAACCTGGAACTGGTATTTTAAATTCTCAGCTGCATTTCTTATCGTACGTTACCCCGTGGTTAAAGAAACTTTAAGAAGCAAGAGATCAGGGATCTACTGGTGTTCCCTGGGAGCTTCCTGGGTGTGCTTTAAGACTAATGGTTCCTGGAGAAAGGGAAGGTGGGATATACCTTGTGCTTTTCTTGAAATGATTGAATCAGGGAGGTGTACAGCCTGGAGAAAATAGTGCGTGCAAACGCAGAGGTCAGAATCCGTGTGCAACGTGGAAAGAATGGTTTACCAAGATGGAAATACAAGTTAGGTGAATAGTGATAAGACCTAGCAGATACTATTATTTCTCTCATTTTACAGGTGAGACAGCAAAGGATCGGAAACTCTGATCATTTCTCCCCTTTAGGGTCACATGACCAGAATACTTAGACTCAGATCCCGACTCTGGAGCTGGGTTGTATTGTATATCACTCCTTGTATCATCAGAGAACAGCGACAGATCAGGAGACTAACTCTAGGGGAGTTCCCTTGATACTTTGGAAGATTAAAGGTGACAATTCATTGGGTATTCTGGGGATAGACTGTGGTTCTCATCAATGAGTTTGCCTTAGAGTAACGAGGAAAGGCTTTAAAAAAAAATAAGTGCTCATATGTCATAGCCCCTAAGTCAAAACCAGCTGAGAGGGAGCTGGGTGTGATGGCGGATATCTGTGAATGCCAGCATTTAGGATGCTGGAGCAGGAGGATCACAACCACGTAGGGCTATATAACAAACTGAGGCCAGCCCTGGCTACACAGCAAGTCCATGTTAGAAAAAAACATCTTGGCTGCTCTTACCAGTTGTTTTTAGAGAGGCCCCCTACATTATTTTAACGGGCATCTAGTTGATCTGTTAAAACAAAATCCTGCCAGAATCTTTATAAGCCAGTTCAGGCCTAACACGAGAGCAGAGTTAATAACACCATACAGTATGAGGTTTTTTTTTTTTTTTTTTTTTTTTTTTTTTTTTTTTTTTTGCGCTCGAACAAATCATGTAGATCTTGTCGTGGCTAACTTCTTCAGTTCTCTAACTTGTTCATTTTTGTTTAAGTTCTAGAACTAGGGAATATCTTGGTTTTGACTCTTCAGCAAGTTATCACCCATTGTGTAGCTTGAAGAGAAACATTATTTCCCACAATTCCAGAGGCTTCATGCAAAGCTGGCATCTGTGAAGAGCCTGTCCCTTGGTTTGCGGGTTACCTGTCTTTGTCTTCTCGTGTTTCCCCACATGACTGAGGACAGAGGGGAAAATCAGGCTCTTGGTTGGCTAGGCATGGAGGTACTGTCCACCACCAATGGCTATGTGCTCATCACCTGGGTACCTCCCAGAGTCCTTTGCTCTACTCTTCTGGGGGTTGACATACCAGTATGTATATCTGGAAAGGACAGAGACTGTCTTCTTATCATGATACAAGTTTAAACTATGCTATACTCTGACAACTGTCCAAACTTACAATTATTTTTGTGCTGTATCAAAGCTTTACATATAGAAAACATTTTTTGTTGTTTGTATTTCTAGCAATACGATGTGCAATCAGTTTGAGTGCAATTTAGTTTTAGATGTGCCAAAATATCTGACTTGTTTGTTTTAGTACTATTCATAACTTCAAAATTAATTAAGAAATTACAAAATAAAAGGAAAATATGCTCTGTAACATCATATCATTCATAAATGTATTGTAGATTTTCGTGATGTAGCTTGAGCTTGGACTGCTTTTTCCTTAGTTCAGTACAACTTTTATTTCCTATTTTCTTCCAATAGAGGGCACTCTGATTCAGGAATTTGACACAAAATCAGATATCTTATGTAAGAACTTCCTTTTTTTTTTAAATCAGAGATGTTTGATTCTATTCAAATAATTTTACCATTATAAATGAATTAAAAATTAATTACTTATTATTATTAACCTAGAGATTTTATCTTTAAAAACCAACTCAAGTTAAAATTATATTTTACCTTGCCTACATTTAAATTCAAAAGTTAATCGTTTCTGAATGCTCTTATAACATGCATATGAGACCATTTTCCAAGTTGAATCAGAACGTTATATAATCTAGGATAGGATTTTTGAAGTAATATTTTCATATTCTTTACCAACTCATGAAGTTTGTTTTCAAAAGAATATAAAATCATATAAAATTTCTCTACTGTCTTTATTTATTCTGTTGTCTTATTTTAATCACTTATATAAACAAAATGCACATGGCTTAGATTTGAACACACCTGGCTGTAGGAACTCTGATGTAATATGAGGATTACAGCAGATTGAGTCAGGAAATCATTCAGCTTAGGTCTAAATAGAAAAAGCATTATTTCCTCATTAGCCTATGTTTAAAAGAAACAGGTAAGGCAGTCGAGGGAAGAAATGTTCTACTCTGTGTT